CTAAAAAGGCCTTCCAATCCTTTCTCTCTCTCCATGCCTTCAGGAACTCCTAGAACTCGAATGTTGGTTTTTTTAATAGTATCCTGTAGATTCCCAACAATATTTTTCAGGTTTCTAATTTCCTCTTCTTTTCTTTGGTTTGACTGTATGTTTTCCTGTGCTCTATCTTCTAAGTCCGATATTCTCTCTTCTGCTTCACCCATTCTGTTTTTAAGGCTTTCTAATGTGTTTGTCATTTGATCTATTGAGCTCTTCATTTCATTTTGATTTCTCTTGACTATTACACTTTCCTGTTCTACTAGTTTCTGAGTTTCATTTTGACTCTTCCTTAAAATTTCATTTTCACGAGAAAGATTTTCAATCTTGTCCATTAAGGATTTCTGTAGTTCAAGGATTTGCTTTTGAAAACTTCTAAATGTTCTTATCATAAATTTTTTGAAATCCGTATCTTGCATTTCTTCTATCTCATCATCTTCATACTCTTGGCTTGGGGTGTTTTGCTTATTTGGAGGCATCATAGTGTCGTCGTTGATCTTGCTCCCTCTATTTCTGTGTTTGTTACTCGGCATAGTTAATTCTTCTTGCGTCACTGTGCGCTTTTTTTTTTCTTTTTTTTTTTTTTTTTTATACTGTGTCCGTGTTAAGTGGACTGCCTGCTGTTGGAGGAGCCTTGGAGGCTTGAGATGGGTGGGGCCTGAGAGCTCTGCCTGGTTCTTCCAGGTTAAGGGTGTGCAAAGGTGACACCCTCAGGTTATGCGTGGTAAATCTCTCTCTTTTTATTTATTTACTTATTTTATTTATTCAGGGGGTAAGTAACACTGCAGGGCAGGGCTGTGCAGAATTGATGGTATTTAGCTTCCAGTCTTTGGCTCCTCTGGACTCCCACTGGGTTGCCTAGGCTACTGAATTGTAGTGACTCAGTTCCTTAACTCTCCCCCACTGATATGTAAATCCAAAGAGGAGGCCTGCTCTTTGTCTCTTGGGAATTCTTCAAGTCTTGCAGGCTTGTAACCTTTGCAAGGTTAGGGGGAAGAGAAACCCCGAAGCTTTTTTTTTTTCCTTCTTTCCGGTAGTGAGTTTGCTGCACTTTCCGGCCCCCCTCTAGATTCTGACCCCCGTTTCCCCACCAATGTCTCGGGTTATTGAGCTCACCTCCCCTTCCAGCGCCGATGTGTGGACTCGGAGCCCTGAGCGTCTCAAGTCTCCCCGCTGTTTTCTGTGTGGCGTGCACTCTCCTTGGAGCACTGTCGCGCAGACCCTGGGGCTTCTGCGGCTGGGTCCCGCGACTTGGCTTCCGCGCGGTGGGCGACCTTGTTCTCCCAGTAGGTCGTCCGATTCACGCCTGCTCCATTCAGAAGGGTTTCCCCTGCAATTTTTGTTTGGTTCTATTTTCTGCGGCTACCGTAACTCCCCTTTTATTAAACTAAATTTTCCCGGACTATCGGTGCGCGCCCTCACTATTCCGCCATCTTGGCTCCGCCCAACCACATTTTCTTTATTCAGCCAATTCTTTATTCAGTTGATAGACATCTGGGTTGATTCCATATCTTAGCTATCATGAATTGAGCTGCAATAAACATGGGAGTACAGATAACTCTTTCATATGCTGAATTCAATCCATTTGGGAAAACCGCAGAAGTAGGATGGTTAGGTTATAGGGTAGCTCTATTTTGAGATTTCTGAGGAATCTCCATAGTGTCTTCCACAATGGCTGTACCAGGTTACATTCCCATCAATGTGGATTAGGTACCATTTTCTCCTTATACACACGAGCGATTGTTTTTCATTTATGTGTGAGAGCCATTCTAACATGGGAAAAGTTAAACCTCATTGTGATTTTGATTTTCATTTCCCTGATGGCTAGTGATCCTGAGCATTTTTTCATGTGTCTGTGGGCCATTTGAATTTCCTTTTTTGAAAAAATGCCTTTTCAAGATTGTTGTCAGTTTCTTAACTGAATTGTTTTCTTTGTTGATGTTAAGTTTCTTGAGCTCTTTATAGATCCTAAATATTAATCCTTTATCAGTTGCATAGTTTGTAAATATTTGTAAATATTTTCTCCCGTTCTGTAAGTTGCCAATTCATTTTGCAAAGTGTTTGCTTTGCAGTGCAGAAGCTTCTAAGCTCATGTGATCCTTTTGTCTATTCTGGTTTTATTTCCTGTGCTTGTGGGTTCTTTTCCAAGGAATCTTTGCCCTTGCCAATGGATTGCAGAGTTTCCTCAATATTCTCCTCTACTAATACGATGGTTTCAAGTCATAGATTTAGATTCTTGACTATGTTGAGTTGATTTTTGTATAAGGTGAATGCAGGGGAATTGTTCCACACTTTTACACACAGAGATCCAATTTCCCCAGCACCATTTGTTGTATAGACTGTTCTTTCCTCACAGATTGATTTTAGCTCCTTTGTCAAAGATTAGTTGATTGTAGAAGCATGGATTGATTTCTAGGGTTGGTAGAAGTCAGTTAATTGTTGAAGACTATCTGCAAGAAAAAAAAAATGAATCTTAATGGAGAATGGGACTCGCAATGGGAGGTGGAGGAAGAGAAGGAGTGGGAATATGGGTGGGAGTGATGATATGGTGGGAATAACTATATTCCTAAAGTTGTACTTATGAAATTTGTATTATTTAAAAAGTAAATTAAAAAATAATAAAAATAAATAAATTTGTTCATTAAAGAGACCAAAGAATACAAAAAAATGAATGTTGGCTTTAGTGACTATTCTGTTAGGTCATCCTGACAGTCATTAAATTGGGTTCTGTTATTTAATTTTCTTTTTTTTTTTTATTTTTATTTTTTTTTTAACAGGCAGAGTGGACAGTGAGAGAGAGACAGAGAGAGAAAGGTCTTCCTTTGCCGTTGGTTCACCCTCCAATGGCCGCCGCTGCAGCCGGCGCACCGCGCTGATCCGATGGCAGGAGCCAGGAGCCAGGTGCTTTTCCTGGTCTCCCATGGGGTGCAGGGCCCAAGCACCTGGGCCATCCTCCACTGCACTCCCTGGCCATAGCAGAGAGCTGGCCTGGAAGAGGGGCAACCAGGACAGAATCTGGCGCCCCGACCGGGACTAGAACCCGGTGTGCCGGCGCCGCAAGGTGGAGGATTAGCCTATTGAGCCACGGCGCCGGCCTGTTATTTAATTTTCTGCTTGGTTTTCTGTTTGGGGTCTTCATAGTCAGACAAATAAGCCCATTTATTGCATTCTTTCTTTCTAGAATAAAAGAAATAATTAAGAAATATACTATATATCACCTGTAAAAAACTTATAATATTGATATTCATAGGTTCAATCAAAATGAAGCTGCTCATTTGGGCCTGCATCCTGTGTGTTGCTTTTGCAAGGAAGGTGAGTATATGAACTCTTTACATTATGGCAACAGGACACCCCTCAAGTAATTGTTGGAAAGACAGCTACTGGATGTTATTAACTATTGTCACTCTTATCACCCTGTCTCACTTTTAGAATATTATTCTATCACTTAGATTTTAGCTGAATTAAACTATAACCTTTAAAATAGCAAGCAAATTCTCTACACTATTTTTTTATTCTTTTCTTATTCTGTAGTCATAATCAGGGCTGAATTCATAGAATATGTTGAAACATCATTGGAGAACAAGTACATATGTAAGGTGTTCCAAAAGTTCATGGAAATGTACACTACAGAAAAACTACATTTTTCAAAAACTTGGGGTACCAAAATAAGCTTTTCATTCAATTTTATTTTTCCATAAATTTTTAAGAGAGAGAGAGACAGAGAGAAAGGTCTTCCTTTGCCGTTGGTTCACCCTCCAATGGCCGCCGCGGCCGGCGCGCTGCGGCCGGCGCACCGCGCTGATCCGATGGCAGGAGCCAGGAGCCAGGTGCTTTTCCTGGTCTCCCATGGGGTGCAGGGCCCAAGCACCTGGGCCATCCTCCACTGCACTCCCTGGCCACAGCAGAGGGCTGGCCTGGAAGAGGGGCAACCGGGACAGAATCCGGAGCCCCTACCGGGACTAGAACCCCGGGGTGCCGGCGCCGCTAGGCGGAGGATTAGCCTAGTGAGCCGCGGCGCCGGCCAAAAATTTCCTTGTATATAGTTTTTCTGGTACTGTGAAGAGGTGGCCACAGACCACTTCTCACACAAAAAGATACACAAACACACACACACACCTATGTACTGACACACATACATTCCCTGACATGCACAACTGCACACTCTTGCACACAGGCAAAGCCGGAAGATAGAAGAGAACAGCAAAACCAAATAAAGGGACAGGAGCTGACTGATATTTCATATGGTAAATATTAATGTTCATGTAGAATATTACAAACCAAAATCCACCCAGCCAAAGTAAAGCTTCCTGAGGCTATTCTCATTATATATATATATATATATGTGTGTGTATATATATATAATTTCAATATATATGAGATTTATATATATATATATATATAATGGTGATGATGAGAAATAATTCACAATGGTGATTTATATTTTAAAAATAAATTATAATGATCATAAGGCCTTGCAGATTCTTTGGTAATATGGAAATGTGGGTAAAGATGTTTTCAAGAGGCCAGCACTGTGGCATAGTAGGTAAGGCTTCCACCAGCGGTGCTAGCATCCCACATGGGCTAATCCAACTAAATACTCATAATCATGTTAAATGTTTTTCTTTGTTTCAGAGGCGTTTCCCCTTCATTCGTGAGGTAAAACATTTTTATTTATGTAAATGTATTTGTTGTTACTTTAAATTGCATTTTGTACTGAGAAACTCTCTGATTTCTTTACAATGTAAGTGGCATAACTTAAAATATTAGCACCATTATTAATCTCTTCTAGTTTGACAGAAAATATTTAGATATAATGCAAAGTTATTCACACTAATCATATTTTACCATTAGGTCTGTATTTCTTTTCAATGTGCAGAACCATGCATAAGGGCAGTTACTCTGTGGCTCAAAGCATTTGCTATGCCTAGTTTGCTGTCATGCTTCTACAAAATTTTCTCATGATGGACTTAGTTTTCTTGGACAACCAAGGAAAGTGATATATCCAAAGAGGCTTTGCCTACATGCCAGATTACAGATGAAGAAATCATGAAATGGGACAACCATGTATTCAGGTGGTGTTTTGAAGCCAGAAACTTATCAGTAGAAGGGTGTGGCCCAAGGAGTTCTATGATTTCTGTGTAGTAAATATCCATAAATTATTTAGGAGAACAAAGCATTTATCATTAACTGCTACACAATGTTTTCTAGGTCTCTGTCATTTTTGCCTCAGAATCTGATGACTGGAGTATGCTACAAGTGTAAATGTACCTATCCACAAATATACAGTAACTAGATGTGACATTCTAGCAAAGAAGGAACACAAGATATGGTCTGGGATGTGCACTCCATTAGACATATACAGAGAAGCAGGAATTTTGTGAAAATAAACTAAAAAATTGAAGCAGGGTGAAATATAATTTTGTATTCTTTATGAGTTAATATTATAATCATCATACTCTAGGGCTTGATAATCCAAATAAATAATTGACATTTGCCTCTGTGAATACACTGGAACACAGTGTGCACACACATCAGTTGTCACATCATATACCTTAGGGAGACTCTGGCAAAATGATGCATGAGAAAATGTATAACTCAGCAATTCAGGAAACCAACCTAAAATTGGAAGGAACAAAACAGGACATTTCATTTAAAAATCTTGGAAGATATAATATTCCAGACACAATAGCAAAGAAACCTGGCCTGTTTTATCTACTGTGTAGGATCCCAGTACCTAACACAGGGACAACATAAAGCAGTCACTTATTTTATACTTTTAAAAATAAACTATACAGTTCAAAGCAAAGCATAAAATACATCAATGCCCCAAAAGTACAATCTATGTTTATTGAGAAGTGATATTGCAAAGCCCTGTTTGGTCACTAAGATTTTGTGGTGAACACAACTGATGAAGTCATGTGAATATCTGGAAGTAAATACGCTTACTAGACATAAAATTAAATCACAGTACTTGATTCCCCACATCTGAAAGCTTATGAATAGCTATGAATAAAAAATTTAAATGATATTGTGATAGTACTGGAATTGATAAAACATTATAATCAATTGCTGCATATCTACTTTGCAAGACTGTGCATTAATGTATGTAGGGCTAGGTATACGTTGGCACAGGAAAACTGAGAACAAAGCCAACATCTCAGTCTCATACAAAAGAAAACTCCAAGTTAGAGTGTGGTCAGTGATAGTCATTCTCAATGTAAGATGAGATCAGAAAGATGAAAATCAAAACCAATATTGTTTTCTTTGTTTTAGAAATTTTTCTCATCCAGCGAAGAGGTAAAATATTCTCATGTTCATTTATATCTTAAGATATTTAAATGTATTTTACACTATTTTTCTTTAAAAGTTTCATCTATTGATCAATGTCAAAGCATTATGTTTTTTTTGAAAATTAAGGAAGTAAATTGGGAACATGTTCACTTCTTTACCTAAGATAGGCTAATTTAAAAATAACGGATTTAAATATAAGCATATCAATATTAATATACCCTTAATTATTTATTCAAATGAATATCATGCTTAGTGGCACTGTCTGCTTATTACGTTAAATGATTTAAAATGGATTTAATTATATAAAGTTTTACATCATAGAAAAGTACTACAGATAAAGAAAGCAGGATTTTCTACCAAATACAAAAACAAGTCTATGCTCATATCACTGTCTGCTACTGGAAAATTTACTTGGAAAACCTGTAAGGAAGATAACCTCATCTATTGACTAGCACTAACATAAACATGTAAGAAGTGCTAAGTATGGTTTTCCATATTTAAAATGATACTTATGTTATAAAAATCAAATTCCTTGAATTATAATTGAGTATGCAAAAAAACAAGAAATACAGTATTCTGATACATAGACCAGAACTGGCTTACTTATAAAAACTGACAAATTTATGACAGAGAATACCTATATTTAAGACTTATAATAAACATAATTTTCTGTAAATTCTTACACAATTTTGTGATCTTGGGACTTTTCCTGACAGTCTTACATACATGTGAAAGACAAACATAGAGCTGAGGGAAATATGAAGGCTCAACGAAAAAAAAAATTGAAATTTGATGATCAATTAGTAATCAATGTTAATAAGATAACTAACTTGGCATGCCTAACACAACAGGGAAAATTACCACAGGAGTTCATGAAAAATAGAAGTAGAAGATTTTATTTGGGTACAAAACAACTTTGAAGAAGGTCATGAAAAACGTGCATGGATTTCAAAATGGTTTGGTACAGAAGTAAACATCATTTAATTCAATTTTTCAACATACTTTGAAGTGTCTTCATAAATATGAAAAACCAATAGTGCAGCATTCACATCTAGTCTGCTAACTGTCCTAATAACAACTCGAGATGGATGGCCTTGAAGGAATAAAGGATTTGAGGAAGGGTGAGGTGGAGTTCAAAAGGACAAATCTAGAAAATTAGGCACTTGGAAGACATAGAATGAGGTGGAGTCCTCAGTGGGGCACTTTGGCGACCCAGAGGGTCCTGAGAGATTTGGCAGGGTGGCAGCGTCCGCAGAAAAGGAGGCGTGGAAGCGCCAATCCTATCATTGTATGCCAATCCTAAGAAGTATGTGAGTTCCTTATTCTTTGTGTCCCAGCCTAGGTTGGTATGTTTTGTAGATAACACTGTTATTTGCCTAAACACAAAATATTTCTCACTCAACAAATATTTATCCAAATTTGTTAAGAAATTATTTTCCAGCTCAAAAATTTAGAAAGTTATATGACTCTTAAGAAAGAAAATAAATTGGAATTCTCATTTTGAAAAATCATTACAGTATATATGTAATGTATGTATGCTAGTCATAATATGACTAGCAAGTAGATAGGACAAACAATTTTAATCAACTTTTTTGCTTCTTCAGGATTACAATGGCTATCGTTACCCACTTAATCCATCTCTGAATGTTCCTTTTGGTCTATGGAACAATAATTTGCCACCTCCTACTTCCTCTGCTGGTTATCCCCCAGTGAAGACCGTCCCCAATTACCCTGGGCATGCTGGCTCTGACTCCGAGGCACCTTCCTATTCCTGGATTCTCAGTGCTTCTGGGAAGCCCTATGCATACCAAGTCCCTGGTTATCCCTCAGCTAGAGGGTACACCGCTCAGGCTAATGCTCCTGGGGCAGCCCCCCTTGGCCACCCTGTTGCTGTTCCTGCTGCACCTGCTGCTCCATCTAATGCCGCTGAGCCCCCTGCAGCCCTGCCTCCTCCATCGGAGCCTGCTGCAGCCCTACCTCCTCCATCGGAGTCTGCTGCAGCCCTGCCTTCTCCACCGGAGCCTGCTGCAGGGATACCCCCTCCATCAGAGCCTGCCGCATCTGTACCTCTTCCATCAGAACCTGCTGTGGCTCAGCCTGCTGCACCTCAGCATGTTGCAGCTCATCCTGCTGGAGCCAAACCAGCTGCAGCCGAACCTGCTTCACCGAAGCCTGCTGCAGCTGGCCCCGCTGTACCCAAACCTGCTGGAGCCGATCCTTCTGCTGAGCCTCCTGCAAACAAACCTATCTCTGCAGCAGAGGCAGCCGCAGCTGAGCTAGCCGAAGCCGAGCCCCTTGCCCCTGAGCCCTTCCTATTTGACTCTACTGCAGATGAGCCTACTATGGATGAGCCTGCTGCAGATGAACCTCTGACAACTAACCCTCTCATCGTCCAGCCTCTTTCACTGGAAGACCCTTAGCCTTCTCTCTCATCAGGTAGGTGGCCCGAATCTCACCACAGTAATGCATGATTTATAGAAGGGAAGAAACCCAGCCTCTCCACAAACATATAACCCCTTTAAACTTTTTGAACAGCTTTATTATTGAGACAGATTGACATCCAACAATCTATATATATATTGAAAGGGCACATTTTGATGAATTTTGACATAGGTCTACACCCATTAAAAGAATTACCAGATGGCCGGCACCGCGGCTCACTAGGCTAATCCTCCGCCTAGCGGCGCCGGCACACCGGGTTCTAGTCCGGGTCGGGGCGCCGGATTCTGTCCTGGTTGCCCCTCTTCCAGGCCAGCTCTCTGCTGTGGCCAGGGAGTGCAGTGGAGGATGGCCCAAGTGCTTGGGCCCTGCACCCCATGGGAGACCAGAAAAAGCACCTGGCTCCTGCCATCGGATCAGCGCGGTGCACCGGCCGCAGCGGCCATTGGAGGGTGAACCAACAGCAAAGGAAGACCGTTCTCTCTCTCTCTCTCTCACTCTCACTGTCCACTCTGCCTGTCCAAAAAAAAAAAAAAAAACCAGAATGATGAAAGTAACGACCACACCTCAAGATTTCTTCACTTTTACAGACTTCTCCATGAAGTTGTATGAAAGATCTTCAAACAGTTCATACTATTTGTTGAACTCTTTTATTCAGTGTAGGGTTAACTTTATGATCATCAAGTAAACTGAAAGTAGATCTCTGTAAAATTTAAGAGTGGGATTGGGAGAGGGAGGAGGAAAAAGTATTGGAGCGTGTTCTATGTTCCAAAATCTGTGTATATGAAATACATGAAACTTGGGTAACTTAAATAAAAATTTTTAAAAAGTTCATAAGAATGTACATTATGAAAAAATTATGCCTACATTTCACTTTTTAGCCCAAAATAAACATATTTGAATACCATTTTTCTACACAATTTTTGAAGCTTTCTTATATATACCAAAAGTTTGGGGGCACATATTATCTTATTATGTAGGCATGCTCTGATTTTTTAAAGATATTTGAAAGGCAAAGAAAAACTGGGGGTTGCAGGGGCAGGGAGAGATCTTCCATTTTCTGGTTCACTCCGTAAATGCCCACGTTAGCCAAATACAGGCCAGGCCAAAGACAGGAGCCAGGAACTCCATCTGGGTCTCCCACAAGGTGGCAGGAACTAATATGTGTGTTCTTCTCCAAAGCACATTAACGGAAAGCTGGATGGAAAACTCAATAGCTGGGACTTGAACCAGGAACTCTGATATGGGATGCAGGCATCCCAAGCAGAAGCTTAACCTGCTGCATCACATCACCCACCTCAAGACATATCCTAATTATTTTTTCCTCATTCATCTAATAATGAACATTTTATCTTAGAATGCCATTCATTTATTGCATAGTGTACTGGCTTAGAGAGTGCACTAAATAAAAGTGATTAGATGGATATGTCTGCCTTATTCCTGTTAGTCAAGTGGTAAGTTTTATTCATACACACAAATGTACATATGCACATGTAGATGTACAATAGCCAGGAAATATGTGTGAACCCTGGTTCTTTATCCAAGCAGTAACCCAGGACAGTAGCCCAGGACACTTCCCTTGCTACCTGTCTCCTTGTGATCACTGTCCTGAACTTGATCCTCAGATCTTTATTTAGCTAAAACATGGTTCTCTATGTTTTTATAAAACAATCATTAAAAAAAAAAAAAAAAACACTCAGGCCAGCACTGTGGCTCAGAAGGTTAAGCCATGGCCTGCAGCACAGGCATTTCCATATGTGCTCAGGTTCAAGTCCCACCTGTTCCACTTCTAATTCAGCTCCCTGCTGATGTGCCTGGGAAAGTGGCAGAGGATGGCCCAAGTTCTTAGGCTCCTACCACCCATGTGGAAGACCCAGAAGAAGCTGAATTGGTGGAAGTGGTAACCAATGCCAGGAATTGAACCCAGACAATTCCAACGTGGTCTGTGGGCATTGTAAGAACTAAGCCAAATGCCCATTTCCTAGAGTTTTGTAAATACAAAGAGATCTGCTGGACATGACAGTTTAGAGAAGAAAGACTGCATAGAAAATATAAGTCCAGTACTATGAACTGAAGTATATTTTATTACATATAAAAAGATTTTTCTTAGATAAATGAAATTTTCTAAAGAGAAGAGTGTCATGCATTTGTCTCCATAAGTAGCCATACATGCATAGTGAGATTTAGAAATCAGACTAGATTGGCCGGCACCACGGCTCACTTGGCTAATTCTCCGCCTGCGGTGCCGGCACCCCAGGTTCTAGTCCCAGTTGTGGAGCCGGATTCTGTCCCGGTTGCTCCTCTTCCAGTCCAGCTCTCTGATGTGGCCTGGGAGAGCAGTGGAGGATGGCCCAGGTGCTTGGGCCCTGCACCCGCATGAGAGACCAGGAGGAGGTGCCTGACTCCTGGCTTCGGATCGGTGCAGCACGTCGGCCGTGGTGGCCATTGCGGGGTGAACCAACGGAAGGAAGACCTTTCTCTCTGTCTCTCTCTCTCTCTCACTGTCTAACTCTGCCTGTCAAAAAAGAAAAAAAAAAAAAGAAATCAGACTAGATAGATCTCATCATCTGAAACTACCTTTGAATATATTTTTACTGCACGGAAATGATCAGCACTGTAGGCTGTGCCACAAAACTGCTGAAGTTATGAACTCCTGCCCTGTGTAAGCAATTTGGGCTACTTTTGGACAACTGGAAAGTTCTTCTTTAAATTGATCTGAATTAATTAGTACTTGAATATCTCAAATATTACTGAAAATTCTGAATGAATTAGTACTTGAATATTCTCAAATATTACTGAAAATTCCCTGGTTGGAGGGGAAGCGGTGAACTGTGGATGGGCAGATGCGTTTTTGGTTGGACTTCTCAAAGGTCATTCTGTGTTGTCCATTCCATCACCTCGCTTACCCCACTTTGAGGACCACTGTTTTTTCTTATTTAAAAACATTTTAATAGACATAGAACTGAATATAATTATGTAGTACCAGGTGATGTTTTGACAAATATCTAATCAGGATAACTATATCTCCTTAAATATTTGACATTTCTTTATTATGAAAACATCAAATATCCTATCTTCTAGATTTTTCTTCTTTCTAGAGAAATACACAGTACCTGGACATTATCTATAGTCAGCTCACTGTGCAACAGAACACCAGAGCTTCTGACTCCTTTCTAGCCACACCTTTAGTACCCATTCATCAACCACTTGTGGTCCCCTCCATTCCATACCCAGGCTCTGGTAGCCATCATTTCACTATCAACTTCCACCTTTTTGTAGTCTCTATATAAACAAACAATGTGGACCTGAACTCTCCCAGTCTCCATCATATATCCTCCTCCAACATAAAGTACGCCCTGTGCAATAGTGCACTCTCTTGGGAAGACACGCACTGACTAAAAAGCCACATTAGATTCATTTCGTACTAGTCATCTGATCAAGGAGCTAAGCAAGACATTTGGCCCTCTTAAATTGCAAGTTCTGATTCCTTTATCCTGTCCCAAAGTTCTTCCAATTTTAATGTTATAGATATTTACTGGATAGAAAAGGACACAGCTTTATTTCACTGTCATCCAAATCAAAATTTCTACTGCGGTAGATACTAGTGATTATTGCTGTTACAGTGCCTCTTAACGATGATCATTGCCAAGAAAATTAAAACCTCAATTTTTAGTTAAATACTGACCCATGCTGTATTCTTTTATATTTATTTTACTGTGTAAATTGAGAAGTTGATTAGTTAGCTCATTCAAGATGTTAAAAATATTTAATAATTTCATATTTTCATTGTGCATTAGGATTTTAATATATACCATTTTAATTATTTATTTACAATAAGTAAAGAAAAAAATTGATCTTCTGTAATAAAGTCTCACATTAAGGTGGAGAAGGAACTTTACTTCACAACATTCAGTATCAGAAGACAATATTTGTCTGAATCAGTACCAAAAACACATCTGTGTAATATATATATATATATGGATGCAAGTAAAGTATAACATCAAATTAACTTTAAAGTTTAAGTGAATTATTACAAAAATGCATTAATAATTATTACAAAAATGTATGATTATTCTAAGAATACATAATTATTTCAAGAATGCATAACATCTATAAGACAAAGCATAACAAGCTTAATTCTCTTAAAGTAACATTAGAATCATAAAGAAAAACATTTTACTTTATATGCAAATAATTCGGTAATTTTATTATATAAAACTAATACTCATTTTTATTTTTCAGATACTGCTGCAGAAACCAGTGAAATCTACAAAACTGTTTCTTTTTCTAATACTATTTCATCGTATTATATTAAAACTATCCATTTCACCACAGTGATTACTTTGCAATGATTTTTCACTGGATTTCATTTATATCAAAGTTCACCTAAAGATTAATATTGCTGGCCGGCGTGATGCCTCAATAGGCTAATCCTCCGCCTGGGGCGCCAGCACTCAGGGTTCTAGTCACAGTCGGGGCACCGGATTCTGTCCCGGTTGCCCCTCTTCCAGGCCAGCTCTCTGCTGTGGCCCAGGAGTGCAGAGGAGGATGGCCCAAGTCCTTGGGCCCTGCACCCACATGGGAAACCAGGAGAAGCACCTGGCTTCGGATCAGCGCGGTGCGCTGGCTGCAGCGTGCCGGCCGCAGCAGCCATTGGGGTGGTGAACCAACGGCAAAGGAAGACCTTTCTCTCTGGCTCTCTCTCTCTCTCTCACTGTCCACTCTGCCTGTCAAAAAAAAAAAAAATTGATATTGTGATTTTCTTCTAACTCAAAATATAAAAGCCTACTTCATAAATATATAAATAACCATTGTAAGACATCTAAACCCACTGTGATAATCAACACTTTTCTTCTGAACATTATCTAGAAAAATGCAACATAAATACAAGTAAATTTTGTTTTTAATATTGTTTTGAAGGTTTGCAAGTGGCAGAAGGCTGCTGATGGGAAGGCAACCTTCATTCCATGGCTGTCTCTTCACTCTCTTAAACCCAAAATATTTTATATACTTCTTAAAAATGCATTTGATACCAATTTATACCACACTTGTCAGGGAGCTGTTTTAAGCACTTTAAAAATATTAACTCATTAAACCTTTATTAAAACTTTATGGGATCTCTTCAATTATTAACCATAATTTCAAGCATTAAGAAATGGAGTGACAGTCAAGACAAATGATTTGCATAAGATGTCACAATGAAAACGTGTCAGAGGCCGGATAAAACAGCATAACAAGAAAATACAGACTTTTTTTTTCTAACTTTTTAAAAGTTAGAGGATGAAGGAAATCAACATGAAGTTAAGTAGGTTTTTGTATTAGTTTCTTCCAACTATTTCAGTAAATGTCTACAGAGTTGGTGGCTTGACACAACTGAAATTTGTGGCCTCACAATTCTGGAGGCTGGAATTCCAAAACCAATTTTAGTGGCTTAACTCAACAGTGGCAGTGGTGGTGTGCTCCCTCCATAGGCTTGTGGGCAGCCTTGCTTCCAGCTTCTCCCTGTGGCTGTGACAGTCCCTGACTACTTCCCACCTTTCCTATTTAATAGGCGATCACTTAATCTCAACACAATACAGGGAACTGAAAAGAACAAGATTTGTGAGTAAATAGCCAATCTCTGCACATCTCACCATACTACGTAAAATACATCGATATCGCTCTTCCTTCTCAAACACGGAAAACTTACTTTCTTATCAGTTAAGATAAAATTCAGGATTCTGATGTCTACCATATCAGAATGTGACTCATCCTGTTCCTGCAAATTGAGTTCAAAAGACAAGCCACCTGCTCAAACCTTGTTTATTGTTAATTGTTTTAAGCTGTATACACAAGGGACAAGAGCTGTGACATAGTGGGTTAAGCTTCTGCCTGTCTGGCTGCTCCACTTCCAAACCAGCTCCATGCTAATGGCCTGAGAAAAGCAGCAGAAGATCGCCCAAGTGCTTGGGCCCCTACCTCAAGTGGGAGACCAGAAATAATATGCTCCTGGCTCCTGGCTTTGGATTGGCCCAGCTCTGGCCATTGCCGTCGTTTGGGGAGGGAACCAGCCGATGGAAGATCTCTCTGTCTCTCCCTCTCTGTCAGTAACCTGCCTCACAAATAAATAAATAAAATATACATATAATAAAAAGAAGGAAGAGAGAAAAGTTTCATAACATTTAGCAATTAATCCTCTTTGCTCTATGGCTGACTGAAACTCTAGATCTTTAATCCATTTTGAGATTATTTTTCACATGGTGCGGAACAGGGGTCTGGTTTCATTCTTCCACAAGTGGATACCAAATATTTGTTAAATAATTGCAATGTGCAATGACATCAAATAACTCAATCAATGCCTCATTGGAGTGTCTTTTTTTTTCTTGCCTCTTGTGCCTACAAGATCCGAAATATCATATATGAACTATCATGTCACTCAAAGTGTTCATATCTTTACTGAGATCCATACCATTCTTAATAAACATAAAATTAGATTTTGGATATTAGTCAAATTCTATGATGGCTATACTATACAACTTTGTTTTATAGAAGGGTGGTGATGGCAGCTTGCAAAAAATATCTTCCAGAAGGAAGACCATGAAATGTGGTTTGCAAGGCCTGACCTGCTGATTGCTAAGGGGTAAATGGTAAAGGTCCTGTTTCACCAAGTAAAAGTGGACAGAGAATAGGTAATTCATGAAAAAGATGATCAATTTGGTTTATTGTGTGGAGTTTTGTTTATTTCATTTTTTAAGAGAAGGTAAAGGACACTATTTGGTTATGTAAATGTTGAAATGGCAAACATGACAGAAAAAAAACAATGAGAAATATCAGATAGCAAAAGATAAGAGTAAAGGGGCCCGTGCTGTGGCTTAGTAGGTTAAGTCTCCAGTTGCGGCCCTGGGCAACTCATATGGGCGCCGATTCATGTCCCAGCTGCTCCACTTCTGATCCAGTTCTCTTTTGATGGCCTGGGAAAACAGTGGAAGATGGCCCAAGTACTCCATCCCCTGCACCTGTGTGAGAGAAAGAGAAGACTCCCCTGTCTCCTGGCTTCAGATCAGCCCAGCTCCAGCTGTTGTGACTGTTTGAGGAGTAAACAAGAAAATAGAAAACCCATCTCCCTGTAACTCTGACTCTAAAGCGAATAAATCTTTAAAAAATACCTAATGTAATAATGTAGATTGAAAACTGGAGATAAGGATCTGATTTTATTCATCTAAAATGTATTGAGCACTTCCTAAGATCACATTAGAGACAACATTGGAATGCATATCATTAAATTCTAAGAGTTGAAACACATCAATAAAAATCCCTGTTCTATAATTTTAGCAATAATAAACAATGGAATGCCTTAATTTTTTGCTTATTCATCAGATGATAATTGAACAGCTATTACACATCAAATATATGATATGCAAGTTTAAAAGATCAACACCTGTAAGAATTTACTGTATCAGTGAGAAAAATATAGACAATCATTATATAATTTTATGAGCAGACAGGTGGCATGATCACATGGCTATTAGAAATAAATCATATAGAATTGGTAGAAGTGGAGACTTCTAAAGAGGAAATAAACTCCAAATAGGAGAGGTGGTAAACTGTCATTTGGTTTACCTCCAAAATATACCCCTATGTCCTAACACTTCTGACCTTCTCTGCTGCTTGGAGCCCAGTTCCAGCTATTGCCATCCCTCATAGGACTAACAGACTAGTCTCTTAACTGGCCTGCCTGCTTCCACCTCTGCTCCACACCCCCACCTCCCCACTCACATACATTATCCAGTGACCAGCCACAGACACTAAATCACAAATTATCCAGTAATATAATTTCTCTCTTCAAAAGCCCCCAATGCTTTCTCGTCTGACTTAGAATATATGCTGATGCTCACCCTAGATACAAGACTTACCTGGTCTTACTAATGATTTTTCCAACTTCACTTCCTACCATACTTTCTACTTGCTCCACATTCCGGGTGGAATGCCTTGATTTCTTTTTCCAAATATGTTCTGTTTGCTGCTATCTAAAATTGTTTCCCTGATTTCTGAATGACTGGGGTGCTTTTCTACTTTGGGGTCTGAAATAAATGCTCTATTTCAGAGTATCTTCTCTGAATATTGCATGTAAATCAGTCTCTCCTCTCTAACCAAGTTGCTTTCTGTTCTATTACTGGCTTCTTTTATCATAGAAGTCATCTATATTTAGATTTTATTTACTTGTATATTTATCTTTACTGCTGCCTTTATCCAATGTCCACAAAAATATAAATTTCTTAGAGATAAGAATTTCTATGTCTTACCCGCCATGGGTCTAAAGCAGTGCCTGAGACATATTAGATAAGAGTAAAATTTTTTGATGGAGTGGGAGAAAAAATAGAATAAATTAAGCCATGGAAGAAGGAAAGATTTTTACAAACATTCCACATATTTTCAGTTTGAAGTAATTTCTGGAAACATCACTAATGTACACGATTGCCCCATTCTACATTAGAATAGAATGATAATGTTATGTTATATTATAATAATAATAATGTTATATAGCCACAAGTGCATATATTACAAAAATGAGAAATTATGTTAATTTTTAAAAAATCAAGTACCGGAGTGGTTATGGTGCCTGAATCCCATATCGGAGTTCCTCAGCTCTCCTGGCCCCATCTTTTAACTCTGGCTTTTTGCTAATGCAGATCCTGGGAGGCAGCCACAATGGCTCAAGTAGTCAGGTCTGTGTCATCATGTTGGAGACCTGGATTGAGTTCCAAGCTCCCATCTTCCACCTGGCTCAGCCCCAGCCTCTGGATATTTGGGAGTGAATAGTGAATGGTACCTTTCTCTCTCTCTTCCTTCCTGTGTGTGTGCATGTGTGTGTGTGTGTGTGTGTGTCCTCTTGCATATTTCTGCTTCTCAATTTTTTTCTTAAATCAAGTACATGTGATCTGTGTTCTGTGAATGTCTGCCATATTTTGTTTTCTACTTACTTTTCACAAGTTTGTTCAAGGGAATTTTGTGGTGAGGCATTTTGGTGTCATGGGTTAAGCTGCCTCTTAGGAAGCCCACAATCCATATCAGAGTGCCTGGTTCAGATCCCAGCTACTCCATGCCTCAGATACAGCTTTCTGCTAATGCACCAGAAAATAATAGCCAAAACACTTGGGTCCCTGCCACCCACTTAGGAGACCCAGATAGAATTCTTGGCCCCTGGCTGCAGCCTGCCTTAGCCCTCACTGTTGTGGGTGTTTGGGAGATAAACCTGCAGATAGGACTTTTATCTTTCTCTCTCACCTGCTCTGTCACCCTGCCTTTCAGATACATAAATCAATCTTTGAAAAAGACAGAGACCTATGTAATAAGCGACC